ATCCTCCTGCCTCAACTTTCCAAGTGCTGAGATCCGAGCAGATGCCACGATGCTTAGCTCTGCTCAGGTCTTTGAGCAGGTGATCGAAAGGAATGGTAAGAAAAGACTACAGAAGACTCTTCTTCTCATCTTCCTCTGCCCTGGGCAAGTTCCTGGGATCTCTCTGGCCTAGCTTCCCCATATGTGGGATAAGAACAGTGCAGATGTTGAAGGGGCCCTAAGAGACTCTGTGAACCAGAAGACAGACTTGAGATAAAGGAGCCATCACACTCCCTACAAAAGGCAGAGTATGACAAGAGTCCGCATGGTCTCCTGGCATAGAGGCACTGCCCTGGGCTAAGATCCGGGCCAGGGCTGTTGGCTAGAGAGTCTCCTAGGGGTTTAGGAGCTCCTGGCCAGCCTGCCCCCTAGAGGTTGCACAGTGGCTGAAGGCCACTTACCCACATTCCCAACCAGCTGAAAAAGCCCTTCCCCAGCTCTTCTCAGGCATAGAAGCTGTGACTGAAGTATCAGTCTAAAAAAAAAAAAAAAAACAACCACAACAACAAGAAAGGCAGGCATGGTGGGTGCACACCTGCAATCCCAGCACTCGGGAGGCTGAGGCAGGAGGATCGTTGTGAGTTTGAGACCAGCCTGGGCTACAAAGTGAGCTCAAGGCCAGTCAGAACTACATAGCGAGACCCTGTCTCAAAAAGACCAAAAAAACCCCAAAAAGTATCAGTCTGGAGGGTGAGCTTCATGCCTATGTACTGACATACCTTAAAAATCGAGATCAGGCCAGTCACTGGCACATTTTCTGCTTTGCTTACCTTCCCAACTACTGTCTGGAAGCAAAGTAACAGGCCCAGAGAGAGAGCAGAGATGGCCTGGCTCTCACAGCTAGTGTGAGGCAGATTCAGTTCTAAGGGTGACCCAAACACTTCAGGGATTTTTCTATTATAAAATCTTGTTCAAGTCGGGCGTGGTGGAGCACACCTGTAATCCCAGCACTTGGGAAGCTGAGGCAGGAGGATCGTGGCGAGGTCAAGGCCAGCGGGGGCTACAAAGTGAAGCCTGAACTGCATAGCAAGACCGTGTCTCAAAAAGACAAAAATAAATAAAATAAACTTTTGTTCATACCGGGTGAAGTGGCATATGCCTGTTATCCCACCTACTGAAGAGGGAGGATGGCAATTTTTTTAGACAGGGTCTCACTATGTAGTTCAAGCAGTGATCGTCCTGCCTCAGCCTCCAAAATGCTGGGGATTATAGGTGTGCCCCACCACGCCTGGCTAGAAGGCAATTTTGAGGCCATCTGGTAATTCAGTGACTTAGCAAGATCCTGCTCAAAATATAAGTAAACTGTATATATTTGTAGCGCAGCAAGGGATTAAATGAACCCTTACCGTCTGGGTTCCATTTCCCTATCTGCAGGGGTTGGGGTGCTCCCAAGGGAGGGGCCGTGGAGGACAGCCTGGGGTAGAGGCAGCACGGAGACCTGGCTACTGAGGCTTCCCAGGCAGGGCCCTTACCCACCCTACTGAGCTCACCTTTGATGGAGGAGGCCTGCAGCCTCAGCCGAGACGGGGAGAAGTTTGCCCACTGTGGAGGTCTGCGTGCGCAGGCCCGGCTGCTACAGTTCACGGTGGGCGTGGGGGAACTCGACCCTGGCCGTGCCTCCGACCGCCCGTCGCTGCGCTCGGCCCCGCAAAGAGGTCTGCCAGCCACACTGGGCCGAAGAGGGGACAGTGCCCAGAGGGCCCCCAGGAGGTGGCGCCAGAGGACTGGGCAGCCAGCAGTAGCCGGGCTGAGGAGGCGGGCGGTGGGCGTGGTTAAAGACGCAGGGGAAGGCAGGGCGGGGCGAAGCCTGCTGGGGGCGGGGCCAACGCGGAGAGGGCGGGGCGCGCAGGAACCCGGGCGGGGCGGAGCCGTTGGGGTTGTGGGCGGGACAGACCGAGCCCTGCGGGTGTGGGTGGGGTCCCCGCTGCGAAGCGGCCCCTCACTAGCTGCTCCCGCTCTCTCGGAAAGGAAGGCCAGGCAGGGCGAGTGAGCGCCCCGGCTTCCAGTTGCTTGCGCTCCTGAGGCTCCGGACAGCAGACCTCGGGTTTGGATAGGTGTAGTTGAGAACCCGAGGGGACCCACCTGTGGTGCCCGCTGCTCCGCGAGGAACCTGCGCTTATTGAATTCTTTAGGAGTCGCACAGCCTGAGAGCTCCTGAGGGCACCGCCTAGAGGCGCGCGGAAGTGCGGGTCTGACAGTCCTCAAAGCAGGCTAGGCGCATGTACTTGAATGGTCGGCTTCTCCTAGTCCGTCCCCCTGCGGGTGACAAGGCACTAACAGCAGGTGGAGGTAGGGTGGCTGGTGGCTCACTCTTTCTTTGGGTCACCCCTGAGGTGGGGGCACCTGGAGAACACGGGGAACACCTTTATCCAAGACCCTCCACAGCTGCCGGCACACACGGAGAGAGTAGGGAACATCCAGTCGGCAGATGGCCAGGGGTCCTAAGGCCAGGAAGGATGGCCGTTATCATCGGTCCTCATGGTAGTACCGTCTCAGGCTGTAGAGGGCAAATCCCAAATTGGAATCCCGCCAGAATGGTCGGGAGCTGACGCCAGATCAGCTCCCCTCGCATGGAATTGGACCCGGGGTCCAGAGGTCCCGGGGTCCAGAGTCACTCAGCGCTTCCCTTAGTACCTCTGCTGCACGGTCTTGGGCAGGGAGAGAAGCAGAAAGGTTCAGTTTATAACACCGTGAGATGGGGAACGTCTGAGGGGTGGAAACGTTTATCTTTGGGCCCAGGAGAGAGCCCAGCTTTGTCCTGGATGAACTCTTTCTTGCTCAGGGAACACAGTCCTGGCTGGAGCAAGGAGCTGGGCATCAGGCGTGTTTAAGGAGATGTCCCGTGCTTGTCCGAAGGGCGAGTGGTGTAGGAAGGGGAGGGAAGCTCTGTCTTTCTATCTCCAGTCCAGTTTCTATCTTTCTATCTCCAATGATGACAGTGCAGTGAGAGGCTGTAAGGCGGTGACTGTGGTCCACATGGGTCTGGCTCAGGCCTTCAAGTCCTGCCCTGGGTCCCAGGCAGCACATTAGCCCGTTTTTGGAGCTCTGTCTTTCTCAGAGAGGCTCAGAGTCGGGCAAGACTGGGAGAAGGTTGTAATCACCCCACCAGCCTCAAGAAGACCCCTGGAGCAGAGCTTGGAATGGGCTTGGTTGGAATTAGCATTAGCAAAGCTGAGGTGGGCAGTGTGGCTGAATACTTGGCCTTGCTGGTCTCTTGCTGACAGATGGAGTGCGTCATGTGCCTGGCCTTACTAGGAATTCTCAGTCTGCACTGTCAGCTGTTTATCAGAAAGATTGCCTCCCCAGAAAGCTGATGCCTACACCAGGACTCCCAGCTGGAGAAGTTATTAATACATAAACAGCAGAGCGAACCCAGATGTTATACTGAACTGATACCTGCTCCCACCCAGCCTGGAATCTGGGGGAGTCAGGGAGGCTTCTCCTCAGACAACCCTGACGCCTGAACGTGACTTCAGCCCTCACAGTCTGGCTTGAAGATGTTGTGAGGCAGCAGCCACATCCATCACTGGGGGGCAGGTCAGTGTCCAGCACTAAGGGCCCCGTGTTCAGAGTCTAGTTTGAGCAGGATACAGGCAGATGGCCAGACTTTGTGATTATCAGGTTAGTGAAGATAGGGTAAGTTCAACAATCTTCACTCTTGCTATATCATTGGGGCCTAGTGCAATACCGTCCTCATCCTAGAGCTGAAAAATTACCAAATTTAACTGAGTTGGCCAAGCACGGTGGTACACACCTGAAATCTCAGCACTCAGAAGGCTGAGTCAGGAGGATTGGAAGTTCAAAGCCAGTCTGGACTACATAGTGAAACCCTGTCTCAAAAAATCCAAACAAACAACATCTGAAATCATCTATCATGACAGAGACCTGAGGGAACCTTTGCCACAAAGTTCTTATGGACCTTTCTACTTGCCATAGGGCTTTGGCTTCACCATCAGAGATTTATTCCCTGCCTTGTTCTGTCCACCTTTCCTGGAAGGCAGTAACTCTTCTGGTTGCTTCTGGGAACTACCTGGGCATTTATAAAAGGTAGTAATGTAAACAAACCCTACTATAATTTTTTCTGATGAGGACACAGATGGGTTCAGTGGAGAAGAGTGACCATGTCTCATGACCTGAGATCCCTGGAGGTAAAGTTTGATTCTTGATGAATGTCCTTGGGTTTGCAGTAGGATGGCCACAGAGGAGTCAGCAAGTAGAGCCTCTACTAAAAGACTTCCTTGAAGACATGAGGAAGTGAGTCTGATAGAAGGGCCACCCAGCAAATTTTCCCTTCCCCTGACCTGTTCAGAGCCATGTCTGAACCTCTGTTGCCTGAACTCACTATCTGGGCTAGTGTAAAGACACCTGGTCCTATTCTCCCCCAAACACAGAACAGAGGTAAGTGTCACTCCATGGGAATTGGGATTCTAGTGAGGAGGATCACAACACACATTCTGGTAGCATTGTCTGTAGTTTATTAGAAATGATTTGTGTGCCATCGCTCTCCTGCAAAGAGAGCTCGTCAAGGCAAGTCTCACGGTCTTCTCTGAGCCAGGCACTGAGTAGTAGTTGGGTCTGCATAGACTAAAGGAGGCAGAACTTCTGCATGCATGCAAGAGAAAGGCAGAGCTAGACCAGAGGCGCACCTCAGGGAGCACAGAGGGGCGAGGAAAACAGCGTGTTTTGACTTGGATGTTTACAACCTGGAGAAACTAGGGCTTCACCATTTTTCCATGTCATCACAAGCCTTCAAATGCATGTAACTCTAATAGTAGTGGGGCTTAATTACCATTCTCCGGAGAAGAGCATGGGTGGTGGGGTTAGGTTGGTGGTAAATATTTCTGATGATTTTTACTGCCTCTTTTTCATATAATGCAAGTAAAGATTTGCACACTGCAACAGGAAGGAAATTGGGCCAGCCAGATACGGAGCAATTCTGTATCTTCTAGCTATATTCCATTTTCTTGCTCCAGCAAGAGCCATGGCAGCTACAGACTCCAGCATACAAGGGAGGCGGTTCAGCCACTTCAGGTGGCCTCCTGACCAGGGCAAAGATCAGGTCTCTTGTTTTTGGCCTCATGCCAGGCTGAGGCTGGCGTGGGGAGCTTCCTGATTCCTTGTGTCAGTGGAGGAGCCAACATACTTCAGCAAGGAGAGAAAGCCTTTGCTTCTTTAGGTCTCTTTCCTTTCCTCCCTCTTCAGTTTTGCATCTCTTTCCCAGAGGAAGAGTGGACCAGGGAGTCAATTTCCTGAGTTGTTTCTCATTGGCAGGAAAGACAGGCCTTAGCAGCATGGTAGCAAAAAGGGCATGATGGTAAAAAGAAGAGTTCAGGGAGCTCTGCAGATAGGAGCCCACTCCCCCAGCCTCTCTGGAATAGTCCAAAGCCTATGGCACAGTGTCATCCAGAACTGTCCTCAGCTATGCTTCCTTATTTTCATCTACCTTTGCTTTCTTTGTCCCCTATTTTTGCTTGCAGTTTGTCATTCTGCTTCAGCCTCACAGACATCGTCTTTTGGATCCTGAGTCTCCCTGTGGCAGCTGCCACACTGAAGTCATCAGCTCAGAGTGAACTGGACAGTGTGGGGAAGCAGGAAAGACAGTTTGACCCAGCTAACCTCAGGGGGTGACTTCACCAATGTGGAAAGAAGACAGCTTCAACTACTGAAGCCTGGGGAGCCGGAGAACTCCTGTAGGATTGCAAATCTATCCTGTCCCTGGTCAGGCAGCAGCTGAACCCAGAGGAAATGGTACTAGTAACACCACACAGGTGGTTTGCACAAACTGGGAGATTTGTTTTTTCACTCTCATAAAGTTCAGTGAAGTGCAGTGTATTCTCCCGAATGAAGATAGCTCCTAACCCCTCCAGCAGGAGAAATTGAATGCAACCTCAGCACTCTTCCCTGTTATGTGTTAGGACAGGAGCCTGAATAGAGTGATCAGGAGCTATAGACTAATGTCTTTCTGGGGTGCTAGTAAGCCTGGTTGTTGGTGGACCCCCTAAGAAGTGCAGGTGAGGGAAATGCTCAGAGCAGCATAGAGAACCATGCTCCATCAGACCATGAGGTGAGAGACAAGTCAGAGAAGGTCCTTCTATGAAAAGGCCAGTCTAGGTAAAGAGGGAGAAAATAATGTGTGGGACAGGAGAAACATGGGAGACTGAATCAGAGCCCCAGACCACCAGAGTGCCTGGGCTGAATACCAGGGATGGAAGTAGACAGCACAGGTGTGTTCCTGGCGATGTTCCTCAGAAGAAATGGAACTACAAGAGTCCCCCGCCCCCTCTAGTACCAGGAATTGAACTCATGACCTCGTGCTTGCCAGGGAACTACAAGAGTTTGAACGAGAAAGAGCACCACTCACACACATTCCCAGGTCCTCTGGGTCCACCATGCTGTGCTCTTTGTCACCAAGGCAGCAAAGACTCTGGAGGTCTGCTTACAGCCAGGAATCCACTCTGAGGAAGGCAACTCCCCAGGCCCACTGGCTGGGTAAGGCTAATTACTCCCACAGGATCCAGGGCATACTGATTAGAATCTGTGGGAAGCTACAGCTCCTACGGAGTCAAAGAAAACATAAACAATAAACATTCTTTTTCCTTTTCATGTAGTCCAACCCAGACCGACTGGTGGTGGCATTTATGCAGCCTGAACAGCCTGGGCTGGGACAAGTTCAGGCCACTGATCTGCCCATGGTGCTTGTCTTTTCTTCTTCAGGAAGAGAAATATGGCAAACAAACAAACAAACCATACACACACAAATCACAACCCCAAATAGAAGAGTTATCATGTGTGTCGCAGGGACTTGTCCAGTTTTACTTATAACCCCTGCTCCATTCTTACAATCTTACATTTGCCCCTTACTTGAGGGGCTGCTAATATCCTAACTCTGTACACTAGGAAATGGGAGGCGAGGTGATCCTACGGTCCCATCTGGGGAGTAGCAAGGCTGAGAGGTGGACTCTTGTGAAATCTAAACATACACATGGAGTCACCAGACATGAAGCTGAATCAGATAGCTTTCAGGGCAGGAAGAAACTCATCGAGGATCCTCATAACGCAGGGAGAGCAGCTTTCCTCATCCCAGTAGGCCCAATGAGGTGAGGCAGCTTCCCACAAAGGGTGACTCATGAGGTCAGGGGAAAACACCAGGAAGTTGGGACTCTGCATTGCTTTTCTTTCTCTTTCCTGATTCACCCTAGAGTTTGGGAGGAACAGCTCAGATACTCAGGGGAAGGGCATGGGTCTCCTTCCAGAACTGAGAGCAACTGGTCTGACCACTGGGATGGCCATCACCATTCACTGGGATTCCTGGATTATTACAGGTCACATTAGAAATGCTGACATCTAATTAAAAAATAATAATAAAAAAAAATTTAAAAAAGAAATGCTTACATCCCATGTCATATATTCCTCATCACTAGAATTGAGTTTGCAGAATGGGTCCAAACTACTGAAGTCCTCTACATGGCCACAAATGGTTTGGAATACTATTTGGTTCTCCTGGGAAATGTTCTCCCTCAAGAGAGTGCCTGAGGCTTGTGTGAGAGGCAGATGATCCTGAATAGTGTACCCCGGACTGTGAACGCGGACAGGACGCCCACGGCCCCTCCTCTGCACAGAACTTGGGGGCCGCAGCACCAGGCCTCCGAGAAACATCAAGTCTCTTCTCATCCCCAAGGTCACTGCCGCGGGCTTGCGGAGGAGGCCTTCCAGGTTGTTTATCCTTTCCCAGGGTTTTTCTGAGAGTCCGGTTCTGTGGGACTGGCTCAGCTTGGAGCCTGCCCTCTGGATGGTCTTCGACGGCTTCGCAGTCCGGGCCCACCACCCCGGGTTCGCTCTCCTTCCTTCTGCGATCCCGTATTTCTCAACATCCCTTGTCCAGTCAGCTTTTTCACTGGGGATGAGGTCCTTCTCTGAGGCCCGTCCTCACGACGCCCACCCCTGCGACACTCGCGTTGTCAGGCAAGTCCCCCACTGCGGAGTTGTCGTGGTCAGAAATGTCACTAGCAACAGCCAGTGACTTTCCATCCGGGCTCTGAGGGGCGCTGCCGCCAGCTCTGGAGGGCGCATGCGTAGGCTCGCGGCGGCTTGCGGCGACCCGGGGTTGGCGCGTGCACGCGAGTCTGCGCGGGCTGGCGAG